AGATGAGTCCGACGCTCTCGACAAGCAAACAAGCGCAGACATGGACAGCGTCAAAATGGATCCAGCCGCGACTACTGCGCCAGGCTTGCAGGTGACGAGCCCTGAACCGGATGCGCGCCTGTCCACCTCAAGCTCGACTCCCTTGGACCCGAATCCACGATCTCGGGGAGGCTCAGAGTCGGGTGATAGCAAGACCGACGCTGGCGCTGGCGGCGATGTGGAGGCCGATGGTGATGCAGATGGCGCGGAGAGTTCCGACTCTTTGGATCTCCGGCCCTACTCGCTGCCTTCTGTGCGGGAACTCTTCCGGGTTCTAGTCAACTTCTTGGACCCCAACGACCGGCAGCATACCGACACTATGAGAGTCATGGCATTGCGCATTATTCACGTTGCCCTCGAGGTTTCTGGTCCCTCTATTGCGCGGCACCCTGCTTTGGCTGGGATAGCCGAGGACAGGCTCTGCTGCTATCTCTTCCAGCTTGTTAGGTCGGACAACATGGCCATCCTGCAAGAGTCGTTGATCGTGGCCGGCACGTTACTAGCCACCTGCCGCGGTGTTTTAAAATTGCAGCAGGAACTCTTTCTTTCGTATCTCGTTGCGTGCCTTCACCCGTCGGTAGAAATACCGCGAGAACCAGGCATTGACCCGTCACTGTATGCCGGGATACCGCAATCCCCCAAGCTCGTCAAGCCACCCCCATCGCAGACCAGCAGCGGCCGCTCGACGCCAGTCCCGGTGAAGGATCGGCAAAAACTCGGTCTTGAGGGTGGTGCCAGGAAGCCAGACGCACGACAAGCCATGGTTGAGAACATTGGTGTACTGTCAAGGATGCCAACGTTCATGGCTGAACTCTTTGTCAATTACGATTGCGACGCTGATCGAGCGGACCTATGCGAAGACATGATTGGCCTTCTCTCGAGAAATGCTTTGCCGGACTCTGCAACTTGGAGCACGACGAGCGTGCCACCGCTTTGCTTGGATGCACTGCTCAGATACATCCAGTTCATCGCCGAAAGGTTGGACGAACCCCCGGTTGTCGATGGCTATCCCGACGCTACGGAGCTACGGGAACTGAGACGGAAGAAGAAGATCATTATCAAGGGTACCAGCAAGTTCAACGAGAACCCCAAGGGCGGCCTTGCCTATCTCGAGGCCCAGGGAATCATCTCCGACCTCAAGGATCCAGTCGCGGTCGCCAAGTTCCTCAAGGGAACATCGCGCGTGTCCAAAAAGGTCCTCGGCGAGTATCTCTCCAAGAAGGGAAACGAGGCCGTACTAGAGGCGTTCATGGGCCACTTCGACTTTTCAGAGAAGCGAGTGGACGAGGCGCTCAGAGGACTGTTGGAGACATTCAGATTGCCTGGCGAGTCAGCATTGATTGAGAGAATCGTTGTCTGTTTCGCAGATAAGTACTGCTTGAAGGCGAAACCAACCGAGGTCGCCAACGCGGATGCTGTCTATGTCCTGACCTACGCCATCATCATGCTCAACACGGATCAGCACAACCCCAACCTCAAGAGTCAAAAGCGTATGACCGTGGACGATTTTGCACGAAACTTGCGAGGCGTCAATGATGGCCAAAATTTTGCGCCAGAGTATCTTCAGGATATTTTTGACAACATTAGAACCAACGAGATCATCCTGCCTGATGAGCATGACAACAAGCATGCGTTTGACTATGCTTGGCGCGAGTTGCTCGTCAAGTCGGAATCGGTGCGTCCGCTGGTTCTGTGCGAGACGAACATCTACGATGCCGACATGTTCGCCTCAACGTGGCGGCCTATCGTGTCCACCCTTTCTTACGTATTCATGTCGGCTACGGACGATGCAGTCTTTGCGAGGATCGTCACTGGCTTTGACGAATGCGCTCGTATTGCGGCCAAGTATAAAAATACGGAGGCTCTCGATCAGATCATCTACGCACTGAGCCACATGACAACCTTGGCTACTGACATACCCTTCAACACCAACTTGAATACCGAGGTCCAAGCTGGCGAAAGCAGTGTCATGGTCAGCGAGCTGGCAGTGAAACTTGGAAGAGACTTCAGGGCGCAACTGGCGACTCTGGTACTTTTCCGGGTTGTCACTGGCAGTGAGGAGTTAATTCAGGATGGTTGGAAACATGTATGTCAACATCCTCCTGGGTCATCATGGCGGAAAAACTAACGAAATCTAGATCACCCGCATATGGCTCAACCTCTTTGTCAACTCCCTGGTCCCTCCCTTCTTTGCGGATTCACCAGTTCTGGACATTGGTCCGATCCCGCTGCACACACCTTCTCAGGTAATCGATCGTGCTGCAAAGACTGTCGATACGGGCTTCTTTTCTGCCTTTACTAGCTACATTTCCAGCTACGCAGCAGACGATCCACCAGAACCCTCGGACGAGGAACTGGAAAGTACCCTCTGCACCGTCGACTGTGTCAACTCATGTCATATGGGCAACGTCTTTGGCAACATCTCGTAAGTCAGCCTGCTCCTGGCCAGTCCAGCTACTAATCAGAGTCGCGTAGAAAACTCTCCCCTCAAGACCTAGAGCCGTTGATTGACTCCCTCCTCAACGCACTACCTGAAGATAACAACCCAACGGTGATCGTTGTCAAGTCGGACAATGTACCCGCAGCAACAATGAACGGCCAAAAGCCCGTGCAACCAGGAGCTGTGTACGACCCTGCCATGGCCTACATCCTTGAGTTCAGCACAGTCCTGGCTCTTCGCGATCAGGACACTGTCCAACTTGTAGCAAAGAGGGTCATCGAAGCACTGCAGGTCGTACTGCGAGATGCTGGACGGTACCACTACATTGTTGTCTCGAGGGCGACCTTTTATCTTCTCAAGCTACTCCGAGTCAGCTATGTATGCATGCTCTTACCCGCTGAAAGCGTTTTCTTTTCCTCATTAACTGGTTTACAGGCTCATGATTACATCAACGTCCCGGTACTGTTGCACACAATCTCGAGCTTCCCCAAGGAAGCACTGGCGAGAACTTCGACCATGGTGCTCCAGGGCTTAAGACTGTGCATTGACGAACCCAGCCCACTACGCAACGAGATCATGACTTCCCCGGACTTCTGGGCAATCATGCGAGCACTTACCGGACGTCCAGATTCTGCACCTCTCGTGTTTGACATTCTCGAATTAGGTTGCGGAGGTACACCACCTGCTATCATTGCCGACAACTACGAGGCGGCCATCTCTCTCTTCGGCGACTTCGCGTCCGGGGCAGGTCGGATTGTCCTTGCAGAGCGCAAGCTAGATGCCCAGCAGCGTAAGGCCCGAGAGGGGACACACGACAAGACGACGTGAGTGATTCCCGATGCCTCTGCCATATTGCAAGTTACTAACGGCCAGCAGTGTCAATGAGGCAATCTCACGAGGTACCAAGGCGGTCAACAGTATTCACAATATGACAGCGCGTATACCTTTCTTGATGAAGCAGTCCCATCTTGAGAGCAACGAAGGTAATGCTCTTCACCGCTGGGAAATGAGTAACAACGACTAACGCAATGTTACAGCATGGTCCGCTTACTGGCTCCCTATCTTCCAAGCACTAACAACGCAATGTACAAACCCATGCCGCGATGTTCGCCTCCAGGCGTTCACGTCGCTGCAGCGATCTCTACTCTCGCCTGAGCTCACTGACAGTGACCACAAGGAGTGGACCGCCATATTTGGCGAGGTCCTGTTCCCTCTCATTCACAAACTCCTTAAGCCTGAAGTCTTTTCATCGGACCGTGACGGCATGAGCGAGATGCGTGTTCAAGCTGCGTCCCTGCTGTGCAAAGTGTTCCTTCAATATCTCGTGCTCCTCTCAGAGTGGGATGGAATGCTGGATCTGTGGGTCAAGATTATTGACATCATGGATCGGTTGATGAATAGCGGTCAAGGCGATAGCCTGGTACGTTTATGTGGAGAGTCCTGGACCTTACAGAAGAGATTGCTAACAGTACGTAGGAGGAGGCAGTTCGGGAGAACCTCAAAAACGTGGTGCTTTTCATGGCAAGCAGCGGCTTCTTGGTGTCTCCCAGACAAGACGCTTCGAAGGAAAAGTTATGGAACGAGACCTGGAAACGGATCGACCGTTTCCTTCCAGAACTGAAGAGTGACCTGGCCTTGGAAGAACCAAGTAGTGGAGAAGAGCCGGCGCCAGCGGCTGGTACGACTGCCTAGAGATAACTCATTGTAAGGCGCCTGAGTGTGAATGCCGATAGTTGAGATGACTGTTTACGTGTACATATATATGGCAACTGGGGGCAGCATGGGTCAGGTATTCATGATAGTCAAGATGCTGTGCCATATCGGCATTAGATACAATTCACCCATGGGATACCATCGAGAGTGCTTTGCGTGAGTGGAAGGAGAAGCTGAGACGCAGTAGAGCTACGCATGTCATCGTGGCCAAGTGCAGTGTATCACCAAGACCCAGTGTAAAATAGAAAGCCATTCTTTATTCCAATCAGAGGCGTCGATGACACGAGTTCGTTCCCAACACTTGCAAGCTCCAGAACGCTGCGGGGAAAGAGTTCTGGGCAGCACATCTCGGCAACCCGTTGGGAGCTGAAAGTGGCCCTCTTTCACACACGCAATGTGCGAGTGATGGCACAGATGGAGGACATGCTATCAAAAATCACCAACAAATGTTAGGTTTCAATGGTTTTTTTGTCTCCCCAAAAAAAATAGTTCACGTCGTCCTGTTACGATGATAACGGGGAGACCGGAACAACGGTGTGAAGTCTTTAGAAAAGACAGCAAGCTGGCGGCAATCTGGATTATGGAAGCTTTGTTTAGATCTACGGCTTGTATCTATGAATAAAATCTGGCTCAGACTTTCTTTCGTAGGCACACGCCTAAGGGGCAGATACATTCAGCTAGTCCAGGTAAATCATAGTACTTAGAGGTTCCCCGATGTGTCCTCATAAGTTTTGCACCATATTGTAACCTGAAGACTTCAAACCAAGTGCTTTCTGACATATCAGCACTAGAGGAGGCTTGCAAGATACTAGTAATGGGCTACACAGTTATGCTCCTCTGTAAGCTCGTATCCAGCATCTTCGAGCCATGCGATACCTTGAACAATATGAGCATGCTGTTCCAGTGCAAAACAAAACAACGCGAAGACATACCTGCATCCACTAGCCTGTTAAGATTAGCTTTGGATGAAGTCGTTTTGCCACCATAGACGAGCCTGCCATTGTCAGCTTTGAATAGTGAATAACGCAGCTCAACATTTACTTACTTCTGATTCTCATATGGAGTGTAGTCGTACTGAGACTGAGAGAAACCAGTATCCCACAGTCTGATGTGGATATAGACTGCCTTAAACTTCTTGGCTCCAAACCTAGCCGTTTTGCCAACGACAAGGCCAACATGACTGCAGCCGTGTGCCGAGTTCGCCCACTGCACGAGAGGTACCGAGGACTGAGCCGGCCCAAGAGCGCAGTTCATGAAATAGTAGTATGTTCCGGAACTTAGAGACCTGCCTGCAGCCCGTGCTGCCTCTTCGTAGGCGATTGCCGTGGTTTCAAACAGGCTGGTCAGACTTACACGAGAGTTGATAAATCTCACGATAGATTCGCCGTTCTCTGCAGCTACTACCTTCCCAAGGTCATGGGAGATGCTGAGCAGCATCGTCATCACTGGCTTACTGCAGTGGTATGGTTTGCCTTCCAAAAATGCCCGGATGAAGCTAGAAGCTTTTCCCCTCGTGGCATCAGCTATTCCACAAGCCCCGGCCAGTTCAAAACAAAGCGAACAACTACGCTTTATGTCGCCAAAGACGGCACCGGGCCCGCGACACATCCTCTCGTCACCTATGATGCTGGTCAAATTCTCTTTCCCTCTGACGTCGGACCCAGCGGTGCTTTGAGTCCTCTCGTTGGCTGGCACCGATTGCCACAGCGAACGAAAGACCAGTTCAACGGCATCGAATACGAGCACACCAAGGTGCCCTTCAGCGATGGGAACTTTCAAGCCTATCTAGATGCAGCTTACAACGAGACCTTCTACGACGGTGTCTCAACGGCAATGGATTGTGGATCTTTAGATCCCCAGCAGTCCATGATCGACCCAGACTTGGAGGACATGCCTCCTGCCGAACCTACAGCACCACCTTCCTAGGTGCCCAGTGACGGCGCCCGTTTCCATCAAGATGTAGAGGTGAATCTCAATAGTCTTTGCCCAGCATTTGAAGATTAGGCGCGATGATTTTGAGAGGGACGAAATTGAGTTGCTTCGCTATATTGGACTTTGCAGAGCCCCTTTCAGAGAGAACCCTTGGAGGAAGTCAAAATACTATCCTCAGTCTCTTAATTCAGATAAAAATAAATTAGGTGTAGAGGCTAGCTAGGAGGTACCCAGGAAGAGATAGGGGAGAGAAATAGTGAATGTCATATTTTCGTATATTCACATCCTATGGCGAGCTTCCTGACTTCAGATTCGTAGTCAGCAGTAAACGAATTCGGCTGCTGAAAGCATCCTGTGGATTTTGCTGTAAGGTTTGGGGGCAAGCCTCTGGAGACTGGTGATCAGTCAAAGGCTCGTCAGGGGCTAGGCAGCGAAGGTTCTGTCTGCAAGACGGAGGTGACATGACTACGAAGTTGATTGCCGAAGATCTACGGGATTCCGTCCTCGAGCCTAGCTTGAATTCATCTAATATACGAGCCCTAGCCATTCTCAGAACAATACCGTTCCTTGTTCTGGCAGGTTGCGTAATCCGAACACACGAGCTCCGCCAACGACTTTTGCTTCTAACCTGGAGACCAGGCTGATCAAGATACTTTAGGATTAAGCTTAAAGTACAAGGCCAAAAGTAACCCATTCTTTGCGAACGAGCAAAACTGAATAAAAAGAGATCGTCTGCGTCAAAACATACAACACCAGGTATTCGCTGGTCGTCACCGACCCAACTACTAATCCGGCCCTCATTGGCTTATCTATGGGAGAGCGGACGGGATCCCGAGTTTTCCAATGGGTATGGTCGTATGTGACAGTTGTAAAGCGGATTGTGTCTATAGTCCCAAGATAGCAAGATACAGCCCAGCAAAAGAAGGCCGCGAGGTGTCCAACAGAGCTAGAGTAATGATCTCTAGTCTAGTACAACACCATGCATCTTCTCAGGTGCTGATCAATAGTCTACTTAGTAGGTAGTGTCGTTTTCGTGAAACACTAGTAGAGATTGCTCAATGATTGTGCAACAAGAATGAAGCGAAGCTATGATAGCTTGATGTTGAAGTTGAAAGCGTGAGGTTGCGCGCGTCACCGCGCAGGCCGTAAGGGTAGATCGGCCGTGCCCAAGGTAGGTACGCGCCTTAGGCAACCAGAACTTACCGCAACACTATGCACAAGCCAATTTCAGTCTGTCACTCGAGTTCAACACTTACATTTCCCTCTTCTTCCCGTTCATTTTTGTTTGGAGCTCGCCTACACAACCGTAGACATGGCTTCCGGTCTTCCTATCGCCACGTACGTGTCATTGCACTTCGACACGTCGGGCCGTTGGCTGACCTTTTGTGCCACAGGGTATACGTGCGAAACCTCGAGGAGCGCGCCAAAGTCGACCAGCTGAAGGATGCGCTGCTTCAGATCTTCTCCGATTACGGCAATGTAATTGACATTGTCGCCAAGACGAATCTCAAGGCCAAGGGCCAGGCTTTTGTCGTCTTTGACGATCCAGAGGCTGCGCGCAAGGCCATCGAGGAGATTCAGGGATTCGAGCTATTCGAGAAGCCTATGCAGCTGGCCCTGGCCCGGACGAGGAGCGACGCGACCGTCAAGTCGGTAGGCAACGACGACGAATTTGAGCTTCACAAGCGCCGCCGCTTGGCTGAAAAGGGTAATTCCATTTCGCCCTTCACACTGCCTTCTCTCGCTACTTTGAACTAGAACGGTTTGCTGACCCTGTCCTCTCATCACCAACAGACAAGAAGAAGGCATTCGAGGCTGCCGAGGAGCAGAAACGTCTCAAGAGACCTGGCCCTGGCGGTGCACCGGCAGCAGATGCCCGTCCTGCCAAGGCTGCTCGTGGAACTGGTCTCAAGTCCACAAATCCCTCTACCACAGCAGTCATTCCCGACGAGTATCTGCCCCCAAACAAGATTCTCTTTGTACAGAACTTGCCCGACGACTACGATATCGAGGCTGTTACCAGTATCTTTGGCCGTTTCGAGGGTTTCCGTGAGGTCAGATTGGTGCCTGGACGCCGCGGTATTGCCTTTGTAGAGTACGAGGGTGAGCAGGGTGCCATTACGGCGAAGGAGAACACGGCGGGCATGGTGCTGGGGGACACGCACACGATCAAGGTCACATACCAGCGCCAGTAAGACGGTTGATTGGGACGAAGGCAACAGCCTCAACTCTGTTTGCATGTAGGGAGGTAATAAATGTGTTCCGGCAGGGTACTAATGTTTACAACGAGTGCGTACCCAATGAAGGCTACCTAAGTCTAATAACACCGCACCCGACGCATGCTTGATCGCCACCTCTCAATCCGTGCCCCAAGGACAAGCTAGAAAATAACGTCGTTGTCTTCCTCCGCAGCGAGAAGGTCGCCGGGGCCTGACGTATCGCCCTTCTCTTCTGCTGCCCGTGCGGCCTTTTTGGCCTTGATCTCGGCGTCTGCGGCAGCAGTGTCTCTCTGTTTCTTTCCGGCAACCTGCAGTGCACTGTGAGAAATTGCCATCAGGATCTGACGGACCTCCACGTACCTTTTTAAGTCTGTAGAACTCCTCTCTGTCAAGTTCGTCCAGCTCCGAGTTAATGTCTGTAGTCAAAGTTAGATAGGTATCCCAAAGTGAGGCATACAACATACACTTGATGGTGTTTTCTGTCCTGGGAATAATAACGTGCTCGCTGGTGAGACGGTCAGTGGTGGATTGCCAAGATGATCTCGCAGGCATCTTACATGGCGTTTACTGCAAAATGTTAGTCAATCGCTAAGAAGTTCAACGTTTGATCGAATACATACCACGTCGATTAACGACCTTGATAACCTCATCCAAAATAACGAAAGCGGTCTTGGCGCTGTTAGTGCTTCTGCAGTGTTCAATGGAGACGCGCGGCGGCGTACCTGTAGACTGGCAAGTTCGACCAGAGCTTCAACAGCACGGGCATATGTCTCGCGACAACGCTGGACCTGCTGACCACCCTTGCCCAAGCCCGTGAGGCCGAAATCGTTGTTTCCTTCAGTTACGTAGCTCTCGAATGCCGGGAGTAAGACACCAGAAACGTTCTCCTGCTTGGTACGCACACGGAAGCGAGCTGACCGGGCCGACTCCTGGATCTGGTATCCGATATCACCGCCCACGGCGTAAGTGACCTCAGCCAAGGAGAAGGAAGCAATCTGCATAACGCGTCCCATCTTTCTCTTCGCCTCGTCGATACGTCTTGTAATTTCTGTTCAGGGCGCAGTCACATCGGTCAGCCTAGGTTCGTCTCGGACTGGAAGCGGCACTGCCAACCTCGGAATCGCCTGTATCATGGAACACGTCAGTGAATCAAATCATACTGCAAGATACAGTTCATTGCACACATACTTGGTCAAGGCCTCGCTCTTTCTTTTCAACAGACTGTGACCAGTTTCGGCGCCCTTGAGCTTGGCCTTCATGATACCCAGCGACTGGCGCGTGGGGAATACCGCTTCTCGGTCCTACACAGATGCATCGACATATTAGAAAGCTCCGTGGTCGACTCTAGATGATGTAGGAGGGCTTCGGCCTACAGGAGCACCCGACATGGTGTTGGATGATCGGAATGGGCGATGGTATAGGTTGGACTTGGAATTGAAAGGAGATCGGAGGGGAGGTTCGAGACGATTCGCACGGCAGCGAAGGGCGGAGGCAGTTGGGCGCAAGACGGTCGTCCACGATATAGTCGACAAGGAGGAGCTGGAGATGTTGTTAGGCGGCCTTTGGCTGCTGTTGCGTCAGTGCTCAGAGCCGGCTCAGCGATGGGACGCTCAGGTGGAAGTACCTACCTCAAGCGGCCCCCCAGAGATGGAGTCGGGTACCTGGTGTACATAAGGTAGGTGGATCGCTGGCGATTAGCAGTCCACTGATAAAGCTCAACAGTGGGCTGTCTTTATCCGCGCGTGAGCGTCTCACGGACGCTAAAGCGGCACGGCGCCTCCATTGCGATATGCTTGTATCAGTGGCTGGGACTGCCGCCCAACTTATCCCAATAGCCGAGCGCCATCCCAAAAATACAGGACGTGGCGCATGCGAGAAAAAGTACCTTGGTTGGTCGACCTTGCCAGACTGCATCGTAAAGGAACGATCTGTCGCCTAGTTCGCGCCATGATCATCTTTTGAAATCGCGCCCCCGGAAGTTGCGAATTCGTCCCCAACGCGACCTGCACAAGGCGAAAAGGCGCTCTCTGCGCTCGAGCTGTCAGTCTCTTGGTTACTCATGGCCTTTGGACAAACGGCCTGAACCAAGATGCCTGCTCCCACGCTTCTCAACGGCTCTCAGAGGCGGCCGGAACTGCACCTCGTTGTATGCGCCGCCCATCCTCCTACTTGCCCTCTTCGTCTTGTCAACACTGGAGATAGAAGCTAACAGTGTCCGATAGAGCGACGAGGACTCCGTATACGAACAGGATATCCTGCGAAGCCCTGGAAGCATCAAGCCGTGGCTTGCCTACATTCAGTTCAAGTCCCAACATGGAACTGTACACGAACGCGCTTTCGTGCTCGAACGAGCCTGTCTCCAACTCCCCCGGTCTTACAAGCTATGGAAGATGGTAAGTCGCGAGGAGCACGCCAGCTGGCGGACCGCCGCCGCCGCCGATTGCTAACTGTACGGATAGTATCTTACCTTTCGCACCAAGCACGTTTCGAAGCTAAATGCTGCCATTTTCCCCGCCGAGTACCGAAAAGTCAATGCCTTATTCGAGCGCGCGCTCATTCTGTTGAACAAAATGCCTCGCATCTGGGAGCTATATCTGAAGTTCTTGCTTCAGCAGCCGCTGGTCACGACCACCCGACGCACTTTCGATCGAGCCCTTCGCGCCTTGCCGATTACCCAGCACAATCGAATCTGGGCTCTCTACAAGCCGTTCATCAACTCTGCTGCAGGAATCAGCGCCGTCAAGGTGTGGCGCCGCTACATGCAAATACACCCCGAGGACGCCGAAGACTTCATCGAGCTCCTTGTGCAGGTCGGCTTCTACACTGAAGCCATCAAGAAGTACATGGACATCCTCAACAATCCGCGCTTCACTAGCAAGCAAGGGAAAGGGCACTATGAACTGTGGAGCGAAATGGTGGACTTGATGGTCGAGCACGCGGCGGATATTGAAACCGGTCACGAAACGGGTATTGATGTTGACAGGATCGTCAGAAGCGGCATTGTCAGGTTCGCCGATCAACGAGGAAAACTCTGGTGCGGCCTAGCGACTTACTGGATCCGACGAGGCAGCTTCGAGCGCGCCAGAGACGTGCTCGAGGAAGCCATCACCACGGTAATGACGGTCAGAGACTTCACGCTTGTTTTCGATTCGTACACCGAGTTCGAAGAGTCCATCATTGGAGCCCTAATGGAGGTAGCCTCGGAGCGTGCCGACAACGGTATCGTGGACGAGGAGGCAGATTTCGAACTCGACATACGGATGATGCGGTTCGAGCAACTCATGGACAGACGGCCATTCCTTCTCAACGACGTAGTCCTGCGCCAGAACCCCAACAACGTGTCTGAGTGGGAGAAGAGAGTGGCTCTCTGGGGCGACAACCATCTCGAAGTCGTTCAGACATACACAGCCGCCATCGCCACGATACAACCGAAAAAGGCCGTCGGGGCCTTCCATCAGCTTTGGGCCAATTACGCCAAATTTTACGAGCGTGGTGGTGACATACGCAATGCGCGCATCATCATGGAGAAAGCCGTCAAAGTCCCATTCAAGTCCGTTGCCGAATTGGCTGATATGTGGATTGAATGGGCTGAGATGGAATTGAGGAACGAGAACTTTGACGATGCCGTACGAATCATGGCCAAGGCTGTCCAGGCACCGAAGAGATCCACAGTCGACTACTTTGACGAGACGCTATCGCCGCAGCAGCGTGTGCACAAGAGCTGGAAGCTGTGGAGTTTCTACGTGGACCTCGTGGAGAGTGTCAGCACTGTGGAGGACACACGAAAGGTCTACGAGCGCATCTTTGAGCTGCGAATCGCGACACCGCAGACAGTGGTCAACTATGCGAATCTGCTGGAAGAGCACCAGTACTACGAAGAGTCGTTCAAGATTTACGAACGTGGCCTGGACCTCTTCAGTTACCCAGTTGCCTTTGAGCTGTGGAATCTCTACCTTACAAAGGCCGTGGATCGCAAGATCGGTATTGAGCGTCTGCGCGACCTCTTCGAACAGGCCATTGAAGACTGCCCACCCAAATTCGCCAAGGTCATCTACCTCATGTACGGCAACTTGGAAGAGGAGCGGGGCCTCGCGAGGCACGCTATGCGCATCTACGAACGCGCAACGCGTGCGGTGGCGGATGAGGATCGGGCAGACATGTTCAACTTCTACATCACCAAGTCAGCGTCTAACTTTGGCCTGCCATCGACGAGGCCAATCTACGAAAAGGCGGTTTCCACTCTACCCGACAACGAAGCACGGGATATGTGCCTAAAGTTTGCCGACATGGAGAAGCGCCTTGGCGAGATCGATCGGGCGAGAGCCATTTACGGTCACGCGTCACAGTTCTGTGATCCACGCACCAGTCCAGCTTTTTGGACCAAGTGGGAGTCATTCGAGGTGCAGCATGGCAACGAGGATACGTTCAAGGAAATGCTCCGTATCAAGCGAAGTGTGCAGGCGCAGTACAACACGGACGTCAATTTCATCGCGTCGCAAGCGCTTGCGCGTAGTCAGCGGAGACCGGAGGACTCGGGCGATGCCGAGGTGGACGATGCCATGGCGGCACTTGAGCGACAAGCAAGAGCACCAGCCGGGTTCGTGGCTGCCAGCGACGCTACCAAGATGAGCAGCACATTGGAAGCACCGCCAGCACCGGCGAATCCGGACGCTATCGACATTGACGACCTTGACGAGTAACATGTATCAATTTCTCCGGCCTGGCGGTGGTTGGCTAGTTTTAGGTAATAGCATACAGACAGCAGGACCCCTACAATACTTTTCAATTCCCGGTCCACTCCATTCAAATCAATTCATTCTCCAATGTTCTCCCTTCCCTTGTCTGGCTGATGTGTTTCACAGCCTCACATGTAGTGGTCTGGCTAGGCGTACTGCTCCATGCCGCGAGCGTGGGGGGCGTTCCTCATACCACGCCGTGCATCTCCCCAAAACATCACTGTATTGGTGACTATTTCGCGGGCGTCTTGGTATAGCCCTTCTCGGTGTGCTTCTCATGGAACCCCGAGGCGTAGTTGCGGTCGACGTGGCCATCACGGGAACCCGGCGTGGCGTAGATGGAACCCTTGCGCTTTTGGAAGCGGCTCGGGGGTACCTTGGATGCGTCTAGTAGATGAAGCACATCAGTCAGCACTCCAGAGACTCGCAGACTTCAAAGGACACTTCCAAAGCTCACCCCATTCGTCGGTGCTGGCTCTTCGATCTATGGGCGAGGATGAGAGTGCAACGGCGGGTTCTCCGTCGAGTGCGACTGGCGAGCTACCGACCTCGGCCGAGATGCTCTGGGTTCTATCTTGTTCGTCTGATAGGGCGTGTAAGCAAGGTTCACATGCGCTGCACATGGACGGGGACGCTTACTTGACATGGTGATGGTGATGGTGGATATACTGGATGGTATGAGTAAAGGTTTGCTCAGTGGCAGGTCTTACTAAGAGTTCAGAAGATGAGTTTGTGTAGGGTGGTGGCTGATGGAAACGCTGTTTGAGGGTATCGTGGTGTCGCTGGTTAGGGGGGTAAGTGGGGAAGTTGAGCAAAGGAGTGGGAATGGAGACTTGAGAGGGGGAAAGACGTGAGTTTATGAAGGTCCAGGCCTCGCGATTGCCTTCTTAACAGCAGCCCGCGTTTGGGTAGCATGGATGAGTCGTGGAGGGTGGGTGCTACTGATGGCATTGGAGGGCAAGGTGAGGGAGGAGCAGAGGTAAGGTAGCTAGCCAATGCAGCTGGCGGGCGTTGATGTCAACGAAGGCGGAGGCGATGCATGTCATGTACTGTACGATGGGGGGTGTACGAAGAGAGCACATGAGGTCAAAGTAAGGTAGGTTCGGACCAGAACTCACTCGGGGTGGTCACCTGCCAGTTGCGCACTTTTGATCCCCAGGCCTCCAATTTGTTTATTGAGGGAGGTATGAGTTCACTTGATCCTACTCGAGAAGCGAAGGCGCTTTGGCTTAATGAACCTGTCGATCATATACGTGCTAAGGTTGAGGCTGGGTCGACGTGTGATGCACATCACTCACTTGAGTGCACCTGAGCCAAGCTTTGAAGGACCTTTACGCACACACAGATCTATGTGCCAAGACCACGATGGCTGCAGCGAGAGAGAACCTGAATAGAGCCAAGCACTCATATACACCAGGTATCAGGAACATGAGGGTGGTCATAACATACATGATGTAGCAATCTACGCATTGTAGGGAGACGTGTCATGTTGCATATCGCAGCTCACCTCACTTGCCTGATGTTAAGGGTTCATTTGGTCAAATTGGCTTGGTTTCTGTTAACAGCGACATGATCCAAGACGAGGTGTTCATCTCCCATAGAAAACATGAGAGTGCAAGATCTGACAGTATCTCAGGTTGAACCAACGCGAGAGAGTGAGGCGACACGTTTAGGAAGGTTGTCAAGGTTTCTTGTATCTGAAAGTACTCGAGTAGGCGCAAGGTACATTATCCATTCCCTCTGTTAACGCGGGGAAAGTGACGAGGATTTGCCATCGCCGTTGACGTCACACGCCTTTCACGGCGAATAAACGGAGGCCGCGACCACCCCAAGAGCTACCTGCCCACCACCCATACTCTGTATTAGTGCCTCGCAGCTGTGGTCAAGCATGAGAAAGTACTGCTTAAGTCGTGGTGGTGCGAAAGTATACCTCAGTCTACGTACGAATGATACCTTAAACTATTCTTTCCTTACCTGACCTTACTTTTGTTATCCCAACACAGGCCTCCAACCACAGCCACACAACTCAACCAGCATCTCGGAAACTGCGGGGAGGTTCCAATGTTTCCCTTTTCGGATTCCCCTCTCTCTTCAACACCTTCTTCTTTCCTCGGCTCCCTCCCTTGACCAGGGAACCCTAGACTTCGACACCCGCGACACTTGGGCGGTTCGACACCCCCCTTAGATATTATCTTGAGATCAGACGCCTTGGCCTGCGCTAGACTTGATAAAAAAGTCCTCGACGTGAAGATGAGCTCTACAGGAGCGACAACAGCAAGACCAAGACATGATACTTCGTCTTTTCGAGAATATGGCATCACCGAGAGAATGGCTGTCAACATTGTCAGCCGTTGATTTGATTCAAGGAAGTGTGGCTAGCAGTCATAGGTAGATTGACACTGAGGTACTCGGATTGGGATCATGTCCTATGATTCCCTCATACTGCATCTGCTAGCGTTGTGTCGCCCCCTCTCTGCTCCCGCCGTCATCCCGCCTCAGCTCCCCGTCAGTTTCATGCACGCATGCTGTACTTGTGTGCATCTCCCCCGTTAAGTGATACCTTGTTCAATGTGGCAAGTGAACGCTTTTCGCACGTCACTCTCATACTCAACTACGGTAGCAGACGATGTTCTCATACCTTTCACCACTGTTTAAGGGCAGTAAGAATCTCGACACGGACACATACATATGAACATCATTCGACACATTTGCATTACAGTGAACCAAAGTGATCAGCAGTCAGAGAATGTAATTGTGCACTACAGGTGTCAAGACACAGTCAGGCACCTCAGATACAAGTGAAAGGCATCAGCATCAGCATCAGTTAACAGCCTCTCTTCATTGCTATCCATCCTGCCTCCACGGATCTCTGTTTTGACCCTCGTGGTAGTCCCAGTCCCTCTCTACAGAAAACACAAGCGTTTAGATCTCCTCGCCGTCGGCGCGGAGCTCGGCCAGATAGGCGGCGTCGTCCTCGGGTGCGGCGGAGGGGGTCTGAGCACGCTTGATCATCTTGTTGAGAAGCTCATCGGAGCGCTTGACGGCGAGCATCAAGTTGCGGCGGGCAGCGGCGGGCGTGGTGGTGCCAGCCATCTGGACAGGAACAATACCGCCAAAGGGACCGGCACGGGCAGCGTTCTGGCAACGAACCAAGCAGACATTGCTCTGGCCAGCGACGGTACCAGTGCAAGCCTGATCGGCGGGGATGGCAGCCTTGAGGGGGAAATCGGTCATGGCACCGTCACGGTTACGGGAGTTCTGGCCCGGGGGAGTGGTGACAACGTTGATGTTGGTCCACGACGCTCCGGTGGCATCGGCGTTGATCATGCAGTCGTAGGGGCCTTGGTACGTGTAAGTCAAGTGTCAAGTAGAAGAAGATTTCATATCGAATACTCACCACCACCGTCACCGTTGACCTGGTGCAGGGTCATGTCGACGGAGCCGCCGGCGGAGATCTGGGGGAGCATGGTGCCGGTCTCGGCCATCATGGCCTTGGTGCCGGTCTCAAGGTTGTTGGTGCCGGCTCCAACTGTCTCGCCGAAGGTATCCGCAGCCTCTCCCTTGAAGCGAGTGCTGTCAGCCTGGAAGGGATCACGACGTGTTCCATCACGGGGGGTGCTGGAGTCGATTCCAAGGGCCATGCCCTGTCCGCCGGCATCACCAGTGGCGCCGATGATGGCAGCATGGCCGGCAACAATGTCGGCAGTGGCCAAGAGGCCGATGGCGAAGATGCTCTTGATGGAAGACATTGTGATGTGAGAGAAGGTAAGTCCTGGCCGGCAGGGGTATATTATACAATACAAATGATTGGAAGGAGAGAAGTGGTCGGATAACTAAAAGACTGCTGAATGCTGGATGGGGAAGAAGAGTACGAGAGGATTGAGGCCGGAGGTTAGACCATCTTTATACCTTGGTTGTCAGCACCCCTTTGAGAGCAACCAAGCGGTGGATGGATGTCTGCCTGATGTCGAGACGACGCGCATGTCCTGCATCCCAATGCCCTTACGCGCCTTAGTGAGCATCCGGAGTGCTTCTCCCGCCTTCTCCTCTGATACTCAGAGAACGCTGGTCGAATTTCCATCCGACATCCCAAACCGCCAAGCCAAACATGTTTTCGCAATAGAGCCTCAATGCGAGATCCCGGGGGGTATCACTACAGCTAAAGGAGCGTGCACATGCACAGAAGTACCTTCCACGCGCGGCTGTTGTTGCTCGCTCAAAGTTGTATCCACAAAGTCGGGCTGTGGCGAGGCCACGAGCAGAGCCTCATGCGAACCTCGGGCCAGGGGCGTGTGCAACATGAGGCCGCCATAGCAGGGATGGCCGCAAGGTTCCGGAGTTGGTGTGGCCGAATGTCAGCTGGAAAAGTCCGAGCCCGCGACCTTATTTCGACTCAACCCAGATGCACCAGTGTTGAAGGGGGTTAATGAGTGCAAAATGATCGTATGCACCGTCCACTACCTTAGCTCAAGGTACGAACGACAAGAGTGCCACACATAAGGGGATGACCTGCAGTTCTATACTCCGTGTATTTCTAGTCGGGCAGATACAGGCGGTAGCTTGACCTGACAGAGAACGGTTTTCAACCCATCCAGGAGAAAACAGCAGCGACTGATATTGTGAATGCATACTGCGACCAGCTCGTTGGTGCAGATCCCTCAGCATCCCATGAGTAAAATCGACTGCGGAGTAGGCCCACGAGTCGGCGAGTTACGAGATACATGACCTAGCTTAGGATTGCTGCCGGGTTACATCGAAATTAAGCACTACCAATATGATCTCGACAGGGATCTTGCCGGCCTTGTTTCCGTTTCTACTTGTAAAGACCAAGACAGGCGTGGGGATTGCGGCGGCCCGGCCAGCTTAGGGTGAGGTGCTATGTAAGGTGACATAGCAACTAGGGACAAGGCTGTTGTGTTCAGGTTTGTGGTGGTAGACCTGGCAAGCAAAGACCATGCCTCGTGCGTGTTTGACGCAGAGATATACGGCTGTTTCGATCCACGGCGCGGGAGCGTCAACGCCGGATCCAGATCACCGGGGTACGACGTGATTGTTGCAGGGGGGAATGTAAGAACGAGCCCGGGAGTTGGCAGCCCAATTGGATTGAACTTGCAGTCAACTACGAACGCACGGGCAGAAATGATCTACCGCCGTGGCGTGGATAACCCTGAGTAGACACTCATAAGCCAGTATGGCAGATGCATTAGTAGCTAGACAATGTAGATGAAGGGAGACGCTGTCGACCAGCGTTGCAAAGAGAGCACATGTGCAGACGGATCAAACCGCTGCGGCCGACAACGGCGAGAACCACGCACGCACAGATGGTCGGCAAGGCAGTACGAATTCGAATAACTCGTTCTTTGCGTAGGCCAGTCGGGTCGAGCCGAGTCAAGTCAAGGTCGATTATGAGCCGCGCACAGGTGCAACGGCTGGCAAACCGGCAAATCGTACAGCCGATGGTAGGACACGCGTTAGAACCGGTTGTTATACGCGAGAATCGACTGTGCCCTGTGCTGCGGAGCGCCATAGCTCGGTTCAATACTAGTCAAAGCTATGGCGAGGGGCGATGACCTTGTAGCCTCTCAACGCTCAACACGACGCAGGGTTCCCAGAGGGCACCGAGCATCGAGCAACGGCCACCAAGGCAGAGGAATGGATGCCAAAAGAGAGGCTACTGTGGATTGTGGCGGGTATCGAGAGCACCTGAAGATGCTATTTCTGTCCTGACATCTTTCAGTCTTTGAGTCATAGCCATGGTGCTTGCTTGTCGCACTCAGGGAAAAAGAAACACGGAGGTTGCAGTCGTTCCATGTACGTGATGAGGAGAAATGGCAAGTGCTCCCATGTAGTGCATGCTGAGACTAAGTGACTGGTGGCTAACAGTAGCGATGGACGAGGTCGGTTTGCACACAATGGTGGCTACCGCATGCAGCATGTCGATGCGGGAGCATACCATACGTGCATATAGGCAACTTCAGATCCCATCCTCTGCAGTTGGATTCGTATACGATAGGCTGGAGTTCTAGGAAGACAATTCCTGTGACGTATCAGCTACATGCCACGATGTAGGAACGGGCTTGGTGATCTGACCGGGCCTCACAGAAAAAGTAGCCGTTGGAGCTAGGAATGCCGCGAATTACTAATAATGAGATGAAGTTTGAGATGACCCTTTGCCGCTTGCATATGCAGCCAGCACGCACCGACCAACGGACGAGATGCTTTGGGGAATTGAAGCCGCTGACTAGACAGCAAGTTCACAATCCAGTGTAACTAGTTTCAAGATGGACCGAAAGATGAGTAGCGGGTAAACGTAGCAGGGTACTAGGCAAGGTGGGTAGTTGCCAAGGGCGGCGAACCTACCTTCGTGAGACAGGCATCGTTTGAAACAGGCGACGTGGGCTGCGCACCGATGTTGTGTGAAACGAAGTTGTCAAACCCCATGGTTGCGGGGCCAATCGCATGAGCCTTTCCCCTTCCAGTGTGCGGCAGAGCTATGGAATCGATCCCGTTGGCCGTTGCTCATGAGAGAGGGAGAGAAGACAAAATTGCCTCGGATCGACCCGCCAGCCGGTGACAACAGCGGTGTGATGCATGATCCTCGTGAGCCAGTCTAAAGAGCATACAGTAAGTAGCTTGTCAGGTGGTGGTAGTGCCAGCGGTTGATCAAACAGAAAGGAAGAGTAATCAAGGTTAAAGGTGGACGGGAACGTGGCCGGCGGAAGCTAAGCCAACCTTGGCCAAACTACGACCACGGTCATGCTATCCCCTGGGGGAAATCCCCCAACTGAGGTGGTCAAGCAGGAAGAGGTGTGGATCTGCTCCTGGCAAGGTATGGTCGAAGATGGACTTTTATCGCGGTATCCCAGCCTTGTGTGGGATTCAGGTCCGTTAAAAGGTGTATCACTAAGTGATGATTGTCCGTTTGGGGCTGAAGCTGACAGTATGTTTTGGACAAGAGGCCCTCAAGACACCACAAGCACTGGACGGTATCCGTAGTGACGGTGCCCAACATACCCTCGTCGCTATGCTTTGACAGAGGGGCAGCAATATGGAAAACTTGGTCTCACCACCAGTTTTGGGCTTCCAACAACCCCATCTCTGTCCGCGCGAGCCTTATCCCTGGACGAATCAGATGACACGGGAAGTTTAGTATAGTATTAGCCAAAGACAAGGTAAGTTGGTCAAGTACGGAGTAAGGTTGTAAGGTAGAGTGAAGAAAGGTCCACTTGAGTTCACCACTCACATACACTTTGAAACGACGTCAACTCAGACCCTGTGCATTACATAACCATACTCAAAAGTCTCCTTACATAATCACTCCTGTGGAGTCATGGGCAAATCAGCACTTTCAGGTACCTAAGCACTAAGGTGCTTAACAAGTCACTTGCCCGTGCCTGCGTGCTGCGCGCTGTGTGCCTGCCTGAGTAAAGACTCATTGTCTATCACCACTGCCTGCCAGAGCCAGGTTTTCGCCGGTGCACGGCACACTCATTACTTCCTTTCCTCTTCTTACTGTCACGTTTGGCGAACTCGAAGCAAACATCAAGTTCGTTGGCCCAATTACAGGGTCTCGGTTGACTAGATACCCGTAGCAAGTTGTGAGTCAAAATCCCAATGACTCTCATCTCTGGCTTATATGAGTACATCATACATACCCCCTCCAAGATGAGCTTGTAATTTCAGACAACGTCTTAATCATATTCATATCACTTGTCCCTAATGATTGATTTTCGACACCAAGTCCTGGCTCTCTTGGTTTGACTCACCCTTCTTCGCTCTACTCATCTTGACTTGTCGCGACCTGTCTCGTCTCATCGCCCTGACGCCTTGCCCCAACCTTACTATCCATCAGCTAACCGCGCACCAGCCACTCGTATCGACTTTTCATCTTGAGCTCACCATCACCTCAAACCCCAGTGCGGTCTTGCATGATCAGCCGCACCCACATCATCAACCCACCATTCATCGACTTCCTTTGACGATCCCGGGATCCAGACTGCTTGCCTCAAGGCCTGTGCTGCGCCCTTTCCTTACCTCATGCAACCGCGCTTGTGCTTGCGCCTCCGCCTCCATCACCACTGCTACCACGACCACCCTAGCCAAGGTGATTAAGCTGGGGCTGCTTCTGGAGTGAGACCAGAAGGACTCTATCTCGAAACTCAAAGATCAAGGCCCGTGGTCTAACGCGGCGCACGTTCTACCCCTCGACTTTCTGCACTGGCGCATCTGCCGACTCGACACCTTCCAACTGTCAGGCCTATCGTGTCATGCTACGTACCTGTGCTCGGCCTCGATCTGTCTTGACCTGGAACCGCTGCTCGGTGCCGCGCGCATCCTTGTACCCTTGCCTCATGAAGAGAAACTTTGACGCGTTTGTGGGTCGTCCGTCTGTCTCTTCGCCGTCCAAGATGACCACCTCCATTGCCGCCTCGTCTATGAGCAACTTCACCACTGCAAATGATCCCCCGACACTCAGTCTTACTTCCAAAGAGCAGCAATTGAGGGATCTTTTGGTTGACGTTGCTGCCTTTATCGATGGAGCCGGTCGTTCACCTGAACCTCTCGTCCTTCGATGGGCTGGGGGCTGGGTTCGTGATAAACTCCTTGGCATAGAGTCTCACGATATTGATACCGCCATCAATGCCATGACTGGGTATGCCTTTAGTCTGGAGCTGCGCGACTACTGTGCTCTAGAAGAGCATACAAAGAAGCACAGTATTGGTCCCGATGATATGGGCAGCCTCCACAGGATTGCCGCGAATCCCGATAAGTCGAAGCACCTCGAGACAGCGACTACGCGTATGTTTGGTCTGGACGTTGACTTTGTCAATCTACGCAAGGAGACGTACACTCAGGACAGTCGCAATCCTACGATGGAGTTTGGTACTGCCGAGGAAGATGCTCTGCGCCGCGATGCCACCATTAACGCCCTCTTTTACAATTTGCACACCGGCCTGGTCGAAGATCTGACCGGAGGACTCGCAGACATGAAGTCTCGCCTGATCCGCACACCCATGGAGCCTTTCCAGACCTTTACAGACGATCCCCTCAGAGTCCTGAGATTGCTCCGCTTCGCCAGTCGTCTCGACTTTTCAATTGATCCTGCTGCCACTGCAGTCATGGCCGACCCCCAAGTTTTGAACGCTCTGAAACTTAAAATTAGCCGCGAAAGGGTTGGTGTCGAGATGGAAAAGATGCTAAAGGGTTCGTCTGCCTATGCTTAACTTTTTTGATATACGAATCTGGTGAACTGACTCGTTTGGCTTTGTGCTGGAGCAGGTAAGAACCCATGCATGTCTCTGGACTTGATTCGAACCCTCAACCTGTACGAGGCCATCTTCACGGATTCTAGTGATAGCGGTCACCCGTCACCTGATCTCTCCAAGTGGAAACTGGCCTACGATCTCCTTGACAGGCTCGCTCATGACAAGGACCCCGGATTGATCTATGATGTTCTCGTCACATCCGACGAAGCTGCATACTTTGCTTGGAATTTGGCTGCAATTACCCCGTACTCCCACATAACGGAGGAAGTACCATTACCAAAGGCTCGGGGTACTGTGCCTCTGACTACGCTGGTTGCCCGGGAAGGCATCAAGGCCCCCAACAAGCTTTGCGATGTAATTACTGCAGCATATCGCCACCGCGTCGAGATTCTTGGTCTGAAGAAAAGCTTTGGTGCCGGGCAATCTAGGACTACCGAAAGGGGCATCGTTGGTATGGCAATTCGTAAGTGGGACAGCCATGGAGGCCACTGGCGAATCCAGGTACTCTATGCCTTACTTGTCGAGGCTATTGAAAAGTTGCCATCCGATTCACCTACGGGTAAGTACCGCCATCTCCGTACACCTCGTACCTTGCCCCGGAAAAGCTTGCTCATTCCGCCACAGACAGAGCAGAGTTTCTCTCTGGATGGCAAAAGTTCCTGGACCACCTTACTGATCTGGACGTCATGGACGCACCTTCGTTGACGCGCCTGGTGGACGGGCGATTGCTGGGAAAAGAACTCGGTGTCCGCCCCGGCAAGTGGATGGGCCAGGCCTTGGATGTTTGCGTTGCCTGGCAGCTTCGTCACCCAGACGAGACTGAGCCGGCAGGGGCCATCGAAGAGGTGCGACGACGGGCAGTAGAACTAGGGATCGAAGGGCTTCCCATATGATGAACCCAGCTGTACTGGGCAGGATGCCCTTGAAGACGGGCTCTGCACTATAAATCGAGCTAAGACTTCGACTGTCTTTGGCAGTGCTAGATGCAGGTTCTACTTGACAAAGGAGTGACGGCGAGGAGGGGTTATGCCGGTGAAGACAATATTATTGCCTGAGGGGGGCCGGCTTGAAATACCCGAAGACCACTTGCTTATTGAAGCTGTGAGGGAAATGCCACCAAATTTTCTGTGACATCTCTCTGTCTATGAAGGCAGATTTTCTGTATATTCCTTACGTCTTCAATGCGGCGGTCCTTCATTGCCGGTCTGCCTGTACTCGAGTACAAAATGTTGGAGAAGCCTGCACTGCACCACCCAGTGTATAACACTATATATGTACTGTACATGTCTGTACGATTTGCCCTCTGAAGGCTGCACGCATTGATTTCGCTCTCACTGTGCCCGCTCAATCCTGCTGCTGCTTGCTTCCATCAACGGTTAACCATCTACTTAATTTCGGCAGCGAAGAAGTCAGACTTCTCATGTCATCCGTGGTCCCAACTTGCCCAGAAAGGAACCTGTCATACGACCTGCATACAAGTAAACAAACCGCATCAAGGGCCCTGTCCCGCCTCAATCGTCCACGTTTATTTGGTCTCACCATTGCCCGCTATGCTCTCCGACGTAGTTGAGGCCCTGCATCGAGCTACGTCAAGCTCACTTGAGTTCAACGTCGATAGAGGTCCGCATTTCCCTCGCGATCAAAGCAGTGCTTCGTTAGACATTGGAAGCTGACAGGAGCTACAGATCTACCAAAACGATATACTCTCACAGACCTCGCACGAGACTTATCGGAGGTCGAGCATTTTGTGGGTTCGACCTATTAGTCCATCTAATTCATCTTACACTGTTAGTCATTAACACCACCAGCAGCCGCCAATATCCACTCTCAGCGCTCTTTCACTCTGTCTCAGAAACGCCGACCGCATCGACGAAGGGCCTCAAGATCACGAGTCTATCGCACAGCTATCTAGCCATGCACTGGGATTACTGAGCAGCTCTTCTGGCCCGCTGTCAAACACTGACCCAGCTCTAGCCGAGCAGGCGTTGGATATCTTGAGAAGTCTTGTCGTGAGATTTTCTCCATCGCTTGACGACCAAGATCTCATTGCTATTGCTGCATACACCGACCGCAAGAGAACCTGGACGACCGTCAATGCAGAGCTTTATGCTAGAGAGATCCTGGAGCGTTCATTGGACGGTGTTCAAAAGCAGGCGTTCATCACATCGGTAGTGCTGGAGGGCTTTATTCGACCCCTCTTCTCTCGGAACAGCTCTAGTCGCATCACTTCCACCGGCAGAAAAGCTCATTTCGCCGACGACAGTCAGGACCGCTTCACTCCTGGCGCTTCCGCTGATACCGATGACGCGAAATCTTGGAAAACCACTCAAGCTTATGCCATTACAGTGTTTTCCTGGGCTGTGGAACAATCCCATGTTGGTCACACTTCCGATATCAAGTAGTCATGATGCTGGAATGGCCGGCTAACCATTAATCTACAGGATGCGCTTGTCGAAAAAAGTTGGCCATTGTTCACTCCAGTTCTCCTCGCTCTCCTAGACGACCCCGATACAGAAAATAAAGCAAGGGGCCTGGCTGTTCTAGGCGACTTTCTCGTCAAATGCCCAGGCAAGGTCCTCGTCCAAACCGGCCTGGGTGACATATTTGAGCAATCCGTCTTCCCCACCTTACTATCCTTGCCAACTCTGACGCCTGAGAAAGAGTCCCTCCTGCTACTTGATCCGGCATATAGTGCAATCATCCGGCTTGCCAAAATTCAGTTTCCTGGGGAGGGGGACAGAGACAAAAAGAAAGGACTTCTTACTCGTTTGCTCAGGGAAGGAGTTTTCATGGGCTACTGGCAAGCGTCCGACTATGTTGGAATTGTTGAATTACTTGCTCGACAAACGACCTCTATCGTCAACGAACTCGGCTTTCTTGCCACAGCACATTTGAAGGTAACTCCACATGTCTCCAGCGTGGTGCCTCGACTGCTAACTCTTCCATAGGAACTCCTGTCCATGGTTTCTGCAATCATGACGGACCCCTTTCTCGCTTCTCATCCGAGCAGCATACAAGCGGCTGCGCAGGCATTCGGTGCCATACTGGTGAACTGCTGGCCGAGAATTCCAAACGGGACACATGCAGGCGAAGTGCTTAGATCCACCAGCGTTTGCTGGTTGAATATGCTCGCTGAGCAAAGGAACGGGCCTGAGAATGCGGCGACCAAAGAGGCTTTAGCTGAAATCTCCAAACTTGCACCTATCCTGCGCGCGATCTTTGCAGCGGCCGATATGCCCTTAAAGCCTCACATATCGGCATTGCTAGCTGCGGAGCCTAGGCTCGAAGACTTGTTTGGAGACCAGGGGGATGGGGCAGTGGCGGTAGGTGAAGGGAACAGCGGAGGTGATCTCAATCAAGTGGCTGCTGTTTGAAGAACGACTTGCCACGAAGCCATTTCCTATAGGCCTTGTATCGCTTCTTCTGAGCATCCTCCTCGGTAACGGTAAGAGGATTGCTGCCAACCTTGAGGAGCTCCGCATATACAGCGATATCCTCCTCGGTACCGACAGGCGTTATCGCGTCGCTTTGCTCACTGCTCTGGACATAGTGCTGGTACTCGGTTTGGTTTTCTGCCTGGATCGTTTCGGCAGACACTACCAGCGGCAGGTTTTGAGGGTGGCTGATGTACCGCTCATAGTCCTCGGCCTCTTGTTGGCTGACAGATGGATTGAGGGACTCACTAACGGCCTTCGTGAAGGTCCATTGAGCCGCTTTAGTCTTTTCCTGGGCTGTGGGCTTGATCTTTGACGGATCTTGTGGTTCTGCATGAGTCTCTTTCATAATTCCATGATGCCCAGTCACTCTGTCCTGCATTGGCTGAAGCCAGCGGTGAATGGAAATCCCCTTCCCACCTGCAGTACGGTCC